GCTCTTTGTTTGTTTCCTTCTAGCAACATTGAACAAGAACAGTCGGACAATACATTTTAAGTATTTCATTACACCATTGCTTTAATTATTAATTGAAAGAATCAAATGAACTACATACTGTGTAACGATGGGAGAGGTCTGCCAAGACCTTCTCCTTGATGGCTTTCTTGAAAGCAGAATCTTCATCTTTCACCTCAAACTTGGCCCTGAGTTTGTCAAGGATGGGGAGGATCTGCCCCGCAGTGGCACTCCTATCAGCTGAAACTGCAAGTGTGGATGTGTAAAGGACCCTCATGGTGTCCACAAAGTCCTCACACTTGCTCATGTCATCATCTGACACTCTCAGCAATCTGGAAATAATAGGGCAAAATTATTCAGAATATTTGTTGTCAGCAAAAGAGAATTCACTCCATCAAAAGTTTTTGAAACTCAAGTTTTTATTACCTGTCTCTGTCCATAGCCTTCTTGATTCTTGGGTCCCTTGAAGTGTGTATGTTTAATAACCTCTGACCTCTGACCTACCTAGAAGTTTCTGCTTCTTTCAGTACAGGCTTGGCAAGACTATTTCTTCTTAGCCATAACACAACAGCTCTTATCCTCCCTGACCAGTTGGCAATGCTTGTCAAACTGTACAGCTTTTGGGCTGCTATGTTGAGGGTATGAGCAAAGCAACCCATCTTCATGACCTTCATTTTTTGGACGGCTACATCCATGTTGGCAGCGTTATCAACTGTAACTGCTACCACCTCAGACTTCACCTCAAATTCATCTAGGATGCTGTCAATTTCCTCTGCAACAGCAGATCATTATACCATGCTGGTATCAATGTGTTGCAAAGCTCCTGTCTGTTGGGGGGTGTACTTTGGATTGAGGGCCCTTGTCATCTCCCTATTACACACAACAACACACAAAAATAAACAATCAGTTTTTTTCTCCATCTCAGTCCATTACACTCACACTATGTCACGTAATATCAGCAATAATATACCTAAACCAGGACAAGCCCACAGTTGTAAAAGGCAACATTCCTTTCACAACAAAAGCAGTTACAGCTCTGTGACACTCATCTTTTCTCTGGCGGGTAAAGGCTGTCTCCTTAGCTTTTGTGAAGGGAGTCACCATTGCAGCTTTAACTCTTACTGCTGGTCCTGCACATAAAAAACATTGTAACAGAAATACGGGGAAATTAGCTGACTGCAATGTTAATGGAAGCTAAAATGACAAGCTAACGTTATCATTACACAGTTTATTTACCTGCTGCTGCAGCTAATGAAGACGATGACGCCTCACTTGAATCGTTGTCGCTGTTGTAACCACTCGCTGTTGAAGCCGTTTCACCAGTGTCGCTCGTGCTCGCTGGGGAAGGTGCAGATATGACGTTGGTGCGTGTAGGTCTAGCTAAGCTATCAAAGATTGTGCATTCTTTGGCCTTGAGGAAGATTTTGTGTTTCAAAAGGTGCTTCTTCAAATTTGACGTGTTACCACCGGTTGCTTTGTACTTCATGCCACACAAGTTGCAGCGGGCGTAATCTCCATTGTCGCTGCATTTATTAAAGTGAAGCCAGACTTTGGAGCGCTTTCTATCCGCCATGCTGTTCGCTCGTTAGCTCACCTCGCTCTGTCGGGAAGGCTCGCTCACACAGTGTCTGACGTCATTACGCACTTGCGCATGTAGCGCCTTCTGCCGTCTGAATCAGGAAAGGTACCGAAACAAGGCACCGTTTCATGTCACGTGAATTGGTCCTCGGTCGGTATCATGGAATTCTGTCCGTTCTGCAAAAAGTACCGAATAAGGTGCCCATCCCTAGTGGACTGGGTCGGTTATGGCCCTGAGAAGCGCCAGTGGGTGGCAGCCTGTGATGTCTTGGATTCCTCTCTTATTCGGGACTTCTACGCCCGCCGTCCCTGGTCCGTCGGGGACCGGACGTTGAGGGGGGGGGGGGGGTTCTGTCACACCCTGGCTGGAGCCCAGCTCTTTGTTTTCTGTTTTACTTTGACATCCCCCTCTCTCCTCTGTGTCACTTCCTGTCCTTCGTTAACCAGATTCATCCCAGCTGTGTTCACTTGTATTTAACCTCTCTCTGTTCTCCTTTTCAGTTGCCAGTTTGTTGTTGTCTTCTAGCTCTTCATTCCAGCTGTGATTAGTGTTTGCTCTCAGTATTATTGACTTAGTTTTGGTGCATCCGTTTCTGCACTTTTTTGCCAGCTAATTTGGATTTGCTTGTTGGAATATTTACCTGCTTTTTGACCTCTGCCTTAATAAAGGACATTTGCCTTTTACCTCCTCATTCTCAAGCCTTGCTTTTGAGTCCAGTTCCCTATACCTGACACATTTGGTCTTTAGCCTGGTGCTGCACAACCAGTAGGCTTTGGTCACTGGACCTCAGGGACCTGCTGGGGGTGTAGGGACTGAGAAGATCACCAATGTATGATGGTGCTTGTCCATGTGAGGCCCTAAAGACCAGGACCAGGATCTTGAAATGAACCCTGAAGTTTATTGGCAGTCAGTGAAGCTGGAGGAGAAGCGGGGTGGTGTGGGTGTGTTTGGAGTGCTTGGTCAGAAGCCGAGCATAGGCCTTGTGAACCACCTGTAGACGGTTCAGGGAGGTTCTGCTCAGACACGTGAAAAGAGAGTTGCAGTATTCTAAGCGTGAGGAGATGAAGGTGTGGAGAACAGTCTCAAGTTCAGAGTGGGACAGAATGGGACTCAGCTTAGCAATGTTCCTGAGATGGAAGAAGGAAGAGCAAAGTCTAAGCAGGTGTGGAACAGCTGCAGCTTAGACATCTCATAGAGCTTAAAGGACATGTACAGGAGATTCCTTTAAAGGAGCTCAGGATATGCTGAAGAAGAAGCAGTCAGAGGAGGAAGAATAGGGGCCCGAACACAGAACCTTGTGGGACACCATGAGAGAGGGAAGTGAAGTTCAGACTATTTCATCAAGTATACTATACTTCCCTCTCTGATTCATTATGCTGCCTCACTGCCACAAAGACATACATAAAGTTCTCACAGTCTGCAACAGAGTGGATGGAGGCTGTAGGAAAGGCAGGAGAGACGATGCTGCTGATGGTGTTAAACAGCACCTTGGGGTTCTCTTTGCTCTGGGACACCAGGTTGGAGAAATAGGCAATCCTCACGTCTCTGATTGCAGAGTTAAAGGATGTCAGAAGATCCTTTAGATGCAGCAGATGGATGTGGAGACAGATTTTCTTCCACAAGCACTCAACTTTTCTGCATTGGCACTTCAGGCTGTGAATGCTGTTATTAAACCAGGGAGTAGGGTTCACTGCAGGAACTGATCTGGTTCAGACAGGACAGATGTTGTCCAGGATGGAGAGAAAATGCTCGTTAAACTGAGACGTTAAGGAATCTGGGTCGTCATCAGAAGAACAGGGTGGATTAAAAGCAGCAGAAAATTTGCTAGCTGTGCTCTCATTAAGAAAATGAGAACTAACCATACGGCGAGCTGGAGGTGGGGACGCAGAAACTGAACAGTTAAAGAAAATGCAATGGTGATCTGAAATATAAATGTCCTCAGGACAAACACTGTCAGCAATTAGACCCAGGGTAAAAACAAAGTCTAGAGTGTGCCCTCTGGTGTGTGTGGGGCCAGAAAGATGCTGGGTAAAGCTGAAGGAGTATATGAGGCTGGAGAAGCTCATGGCAAATTGGTCTGAGGCACCATCAACATGCATGATAAAATCACCAACAATCACCAGTCTGGACAGCTTCACAGTGGAGGATAAAAAGTTACTAAACTCTTAAAGAAAATAATTGTTTGAACCAATCGGATGATAAACCACAGCACAGTAAAACGGGTCCTTATGCCAGTCTTTAATCAGCTGCAGTTCAATGGAAGCAGAGCGACCAGAGGTTGTAGAACTACATGGAAGATGGTCTCTAAAACAACAGCTAGGCATCCAGCATGACCAGAACCCCAGGGCTGGCTAAGAAAAGAATAACCACTCGGGCAGTTTAATCAGACCAGAATAATCAGGTTTAGGGTTGGGCATCGAGCATCGATCGGAACCGGTTCCAACTGTTAGTTTTTCCCGGAATAGTTCAAAGTTTTTTATTTCGATTCCTAGTTACCATACCTAGAATGCCAACGGAAGAGGAAACCGCGGCCAATCTCCGTGAAAAATAAACTTGATCTGCAAATTGTGATCAACGCTTTTCAGAGCTGATCACACCTGCTGTCTGTGTGCAGCACAGAGTCCCCCTCCCCCAACCAGATATAAACAAACGCGTCTGCCGAACTTTTACTCCGTCATGTAAACTTTAACTCCTGCAGCGTAGAGGAAACTTGTTAAAAGACGTCAACACGGTGGACTTAATAGAAGCTTTAAAGAACAAACTCTGGACGGTGTGAGGCGAGTTTGTCTCACTACAGAAATAAAAACACACACGGAGTGTCAGCTGCTTACCAACATGAGTCGCCAACACGAGTGTTGCTGAGCGTCAGAAGGCTGAACAACAACCTGTAGAATAATTAAAGCCATCATGCTAGAGCAGCTTCTCTGTGGTGGACCACACCAGCTTCTGCCACAATAAATAATGATAATATTAATAATAAATCACACACACAGTTGTGAACATTTTAATTTCCTTTTTCAACTATTTCTGTTGAGAGTTTTAATGTTTAAAACTGCCAGATTGTTACTGACAGCAGCTACATTTAAGTTTCTGTTCTGACTTAATGCTGCTGCAGCATGGATGTGTAGTTCTCAGTCAAGGTCAAGGTCAAGGTAACTTTATTAATACCCACAGGTAAATTTGATTTGCCATGTGACACGAGAATTAGCGCCCAGTTACGCACACAGTCACAAAAAATACACACATCAATAAAAATATAAAAACAATACATGAATAAATAAAAATAAAGTAAAGTAAAATAGCCACGCCAGTCATCCTGGACATGATCATCGTGAGAGTTTCAGCTGAAAACAGCTGGACGTTTCTGGATATGTTGGAGGCATTTAGCCTCTCGTCCCAGAGGCTTCTTCCAGACTTTGGTTGTGGTCAGAAGCAAACACACTGGTTGTGCTGCAAGTCTTTTTCTTTTTTTCTCCAAAACATGTTTTTGTCTAAATGAAGGTGATGTTATTGTTCATAGAGTTAAAATTCATGTTGAAGTTAAGATTATTTCATCAAGTAGGACCTGTGGTTAGCTGGCTCATGTAAAGCATGTCATGTCTTCAAAGAATCGGAATCGGGAATCGATAGGAACCGGAATCGAAACAAGGAATTGGAATCGGAATTGTTCAAAATCAAACGATGCCCAACCCTACAGATGATTGCTGCCAAACTTCAGTCAGAAACAGAAAGTCCAGGTTTTTAGACAGAATTAGATCATTGAGCAATGAGCAGGAAGGACTTGTTGTTATAAGAGCGGGTATTTAATAGAGCCATGCTGAGTGAGGTGTAGGTGTGTGTGTGTGTGTGTGTTGACAGATCACATAAACATCAAAGGTGTGGAGGGGAAACTGCCTAGACCAGTGCTGGTGATGTCTTTACATCACATATTCTTAGCATCTCTGCTGTCAGAATTAAATGTTGTAGTTGTTAGACCAACAATTGTTTTGTGTGCTGTTACTTTAAATTCAGATGCTTTTAACATTTAAGATGTTGCTAACAAATCAAACTCAGGTCAATGTCTCTGTTGAGCTGCAGCGTCAGGAGCTCCTGGGGTTAGTGGTATCTTGCATTGTGACAACGCTGCCATGCTGTGTGTTTCTTTTTATTAATGTGACCACATTATACACTTTGAGAAGTAAACCTGTGTTTAAAGAAACTTCTCGTTATATTCTTCTGTTTAATCTTCTTTTTGCAGATACTGTCCAGCTGGCACACAGTCAGTCAATGTTTCTGCTGCCTGTTATTAGAGTGGCACTGTTGTTTCCAGTGTGTGTAGCTCTAACAGCACTGTATTCACTTTCACACAGAATCTCTTCAATCACACTGCTGCTTATGTGTCTAGAGAGGTATGTAGCAGTGTGCTTTCCATTAAGGCACAGTGCCATCATCACTATCAGAAACACAAAGGTGGTTATTTGTGTCATTTGGATGTTCAGCTTGCTAAATAGTATTATTCAACTAATTATCATGCTAAGATTTTCATTTCAAGATCTGCAGCACTTGCAGATGACAGATTATTGTGGCAAAGAGGGTGTGTATGTTGATCCTATGTCTGATATTTATGATAAATTCTCCACTTATTTTCTGTTTGCCTTAGGCGGAGTGACTGTCATTTTCTCCTATACTGGTATCATGATAGCTGCTCGGACTGCTTCTACCAACAAGGTGTCAGCCAAAAGGGCTCATAGGACTTTGCTGCTGCATTTAGTGCAGATGGGACTCACAATGTCTTCAACTATACAAAACTCACTGATCAGTGTTGTTTCCAAAAATGTAGACAGGGTTGTAACTGTACGCATGCAGATCTGTCTTTACATTTGTATAAATATTCTCCCTAAATGTCTTAGCTGTCTCATTTATGGTCTCAGAGACAGAACCATCAGATCCGTCCTCATCTTCAATCTGAGTTGTCAGTGGGGACACTCATCTATGATTCCTGACATTCAAGCAAGGAAAAAGATACCTGTCAGGTGATTTTTCCTTTCAAATGTAAAATGTATTCAACTTTACAATACAATGTGATTTCCTAATTTTTTTTAAATGCTGTCTCTCACAGTTTTTATGCACCTACAATGTATGAGTGTGCTATTTAAATCCTAGTTCAGTTCCCTGACAGTGTTTTTTGTTCCTGTGATATCCTTGTCTTTCCTGGATACCTTTACCAGCCTGCTCTGATAAAGAACATGCAACATCACACGGAAGCAGAGAAAACTGCGACGGAGAGAGCCCAGAACGAAACGGTGGTGAATTTTTCTATAAATAACTTTTATGAATTTATGGAAATGTCTCAAAGAAAATTCCTTCGATTCATCAAGTGTCCCAGAATTCCTGAAGATACAGACCATGGGATAAATTACCTGCTAACTAATTTAGGTTAAATGTTTGTACAATCTAACTTGTTTTGTATTTGAACAGCACTCACCTATTTCCTAAATGTAAAATTCTGTTTCATTCCAGAATTGATTATCTTTTTGCAATAAATATTTAGTTTGCTGAAAATAATATACCTACATTTGTTATGTATGGATTTATTTTATGTTACTTTACCTGTTTCTTTTATTTTATAGGTCATTCTCTGAACCTGAGAATATACCTGTAGTCAGAGACAGGGCCGCTGTCAGAAATGTAAAAAAAATAAAGAGGTCAAGTTTCACGCTTTTTTCTCAGTGTTTGATATACAGTTCAAAGTTTAAATAGTTCATTTGATGTTGTTTGGCTGTCATTTAGAATTTCCTGTTCAGTAATAAATGTAAAAAATTCAACTCTGTTTTTTTTTTCTTACTTTTAAGCTGCTTTTTTTTACAGGCTTTAATAGACATAAATGTTAACCACCAACCAGAGACTAGCTGAGGTTGTTCTGAAAAAAGTTACAACCACTTTGCACGTTTTATTACAATTTTACAGCCATACTATAAAAAATCACCAGGCTGCCCGGTTATAATCATGGTCATAAAATGGTTAATGGAAGCTCATTCCAGAGTTTTGGAGCAGCCACCAAAAAGGCTCTATGCCCACTAGTCTTCCTCCGAGCCTTGGGGACCATTTTTGGTTCAGAAACAGGCATTTCTGGTGAAACCCACCTGTGTTCTACAGCAAATTGTGAAAAAACGGAAAAGGTTTAAAACGAGCCGTTTTCTCCTGATCAAAGAAGAGAGTTGACTCTTTCATTTGGTAGTTTTGGTGTTTGCATAGCCATAGAGCACAATATTCTGTGACTCTTCAAAAAACAGTAAAAATACTCAAAATGGCTGGCAGTGAGGGGCTTTAGTGATCAGAAAACGGCTGGCAGTGAATGAGTTAAGCTTGCTTCGTTTTCACACAGAACAAGACCCCCACATGCATACATGTGCGGACGCGCACACACACACGTGCGCACACTCACACACGGGCGCGCACATACACACACACAGCCTGAAGCGCAGAATACGGAATACAGAATATCAGCAGGGGGACAGATTGAGACAGAATGTCATGCGTCTGTGACAGTGTGTGTGTCCTGTCACTGTGAGCCGATTGATGATGCGCCCTCGCTACTTGGATAGGAGATCTCCGTTTGGCTGATTGGTTAGCGAGTGTGACTTTCACCCGGGAGTCTGGGGATTGAATTTGGATTGGACCATGTTTTTTATATCCGCCACAGATCTCTCTGAAGAATTCAAAACATTGACGGCTTCAGCAACGTTGTTCCACTCCGTGGATTTTCTCTTATTTGTTTTGCAAGAGCACTTCCTTTCATTTCTCCACCTCACCCACAGGTACCTCAATTTCTGCTTGTGAAACTGAGCTTCCTTGATCTGCCTTGATCTACGGTCGCCATCGTCATTGGCGGAGCGCTGCAACAGCCGGCTTATGTATATGCATGAGATCCACAAGGCACTTTGCATTGACTATTTATGGCAGTAAGTGGGTGTGGTGAGGGTCGGATGTGACTGAAATGCAGCTGAGAACCTTTCTAGATAGTTTCTGGTTCATGAAGCGGAGATTGCGTGCAACTGTGCGTACTCCATGTTTGATAGATCACAAACCTACTTGGCGTGAGTACATTTTTTTGCTGAGCTTACTTACGGTTTTAGTAAGGATTCTACGCAATGCTTGATAAATGAGACCCCTGTTACTTAAATGAAATATATGATGATGATGTCACTGATAACCTCCTCAGCATGGCAACTAGGGCTGAACGATTTTAAGAAAAGATTGAATTGCGATATATTTGTCAGGAATTGTGATTTCAATTCGATTTACGATTTTTTTCAAATCAAGCATCAGCACTAAATTCTAAATGCGCATTAACATTTACAAAGATGAAAACTAAAAACAAGATTACCTTTCAAACATATTTATTATTTTTTAAGAAACATGCATAAATATTCTTTAAAGTCTCTGACTGTTACAGATGAAGAGCTAAAAGAGCCATCCTCATTTTACCATAGTAGTAGTAATACAAAAAATCTTTGTCTTAAATTAAATTAAAAAAACAAAAAAAAAATCTTAAATATGTAATAAACAGAGAAACAATGTCCAAAAAACTCCCAAAAAGGAAAACAGGGTCTTGCCCAACAATACTGCACTTTTCCAGATAAATAAATATGTCTTTTGTAAACAAAGCCTGACACAAAGTCAGGGCGAAAAACTGAACAAATAAATCTCAAAACCTTAATAAAACTTTTCTTCACAACTCTACATGACTCTTTACAGATTTTTGGTCAAGAAAACCAACATGTCAACCTTGGCTGGTTTCAGACAAGAGCGCTGACATGTGACCACATTGCCACTAGCACTAAACAATCGCTCTGATGGCGAACTAGTTAGAGCCCTGCACGGGCCTAAAATCTGAGCCCGTGTCCGGCCCGGCCCGAGGGGGTGGAGCCCCAGCCCGACCCAGCCCGAAAAGGTTTTCAGGATTCTTTGGCCCGGCCCGAGCCCAAGCCCGACTTTTTTTAACCAACTAAATGAAAACAAAGTGCGTCAATCCTGACCAATGTGTTAAAAGATGTGCAGGATCCGAGCGTCGCAGAAGCGCATGCGGGAAGCTTCCCACTGAAGCGAGTGTTTTCCAAACCCTGTCTCTCAGAGAGACTTGTCACTTAGAAAATGTTCCCTGATTATGAAACTTTGGCTGAATAGCGCTTGTTCCTGTCTCCAATGTGCGACACATCCAGGAGCCGTCTGAGGAGAATCCCAGAATCTCACATCCTCTTCAGCTCATGAGCGCATATGATTACGCACAAGCGTGACCCAACACGGTCTCACAGTAAGACTGGGTTGGAACTGTTCAGGTTTACGCAGACAATCTTCACATAGAATTGACTTACAGATATAAAATTAATTCAGTAAAATATAAAGCATTTTATTTAAATATCCATTCATTATTTTACAAGCACATCGGCAGATGGATGGAAGAGCCGCGGGTTGCCGATCCCTGCTCTAGTTCAAGATATCATTAAAATTCCAAAAGTGCTGAAAAGATTAAAAATGGGGCTTTCCGTGCATATACAATACATTACGGTAGCCACCGGGATTCCCTGTCTTGAGCGCAACGAATCACAACACAGATTCAGAGACGTGCGAGTTTGTCATCCAAAATGCTCCATTTTATAACTTTTGAATGGTTGATCAGATTCAAATAATTCCAACGGTTCCTAAAAGTACATAAAAGCAGCTTTCCGACGATCTATAGCATGAAGCAATCAGAGTTAGAGAAAATATCGCTACGAGGGGAAATCCTGCTGTACAGCCTGATTGAAACGGAGCGCAGCGCTGCTGTGAAAGCGGATAACCTATAAAATGACACGTTGAGGACGCAAACTCAATACATCTCTTTTATTGTGAGGTAATAATTTCTCCGAGTTTTGCGGTTGCGGGCGGGAGTAGACATGTACGCTGCAGGTGCGGGCGGGAGTGTAACACACACGTTGCGGTTGCAGGCTGTAATGGTCAGAAATTCAGCGGGAGCGGAGCGGGATGAAGAAAACAGTCCCGCACAGGGCTCTACTGCTGCATTTAAGTGTTTTAATTTTTTTAATGATTTCGAATAAAAATAAAGGCGCCCGGCCCGGCCCGTGTCCGAGGTAATTACACAATCGTTGGCCCGAAGCCCGGCCCGAGGGCTGTCGGGCCGGGCCGACCCGAGGGCCTAGGGCTTCAGTGCAGGGCTCTAGAACTAGTGGCTGGTATGCACAGGAATTTACAAGCCAGTTTGCTCAGCCATGGAAAGTTAACTGTGCACTCTCCACCAGGCAAGTGGATCTTGTTGTCCATCGATAGCTGAACTCATCAGGTAGTTGTCCAGTTCAGCTTTGGGAGCATCCTCCAACTGCACAGTGAAGGAAGAAGGAGGTGCAGCCTTGCTCTTGAAGAAGCAGCCCAGTGACCGCTTTCCCTTCTCGGTGGTGGCTGGAGCTGCCTCTGAGGCACCTTGGGGCATGGCATCTGTGGTGTCAAGACGAGCTCTCTCGTCCTGTAAAACAGAGATTAAGCTGTCAAAATGCTGTCGTCTGGTATGACTTACGCAATTTGGCCTTTTATGTAAAAAAAAATAAATAAAATGAATGTAAAAAATATATAACTTGTGGCATTTTGTAAACACACACATAAAAAGACAAGTTACCTCTTGTGCCGCCTGCTTCATTTGAATCTGGACTTTTTCTTTGATGCTCTGCCCTCATGTAGTCTTGAATCTGGGATAAAGGAAAGACGTTATGTCCAGCAGCTCCTGTGTGGCTGGGTCACTGTATTTATCTTCAATGAAGGCAAGAGCTCTGGGGCCTCATTTATCAAGCTTGCTTACGCACAAAACGGGGTCGGAAAACTGCGTCAGCAACTTTACAAGCAAACTTTGGGATTTATGAAAGAAAACTTAGTGAAAAAATGTGCACAACTTTAAGTTGACTAAGGACCTGGCTTACACACATGTTGGACATGGAGAGCACCTGCAGTGCTGCTGCTGAGAAGGATAACATTATGAAATCCTGCAG